CTCCCTGAAACAGGTCGAGGGGCACTGGAGCCAGGGAGGTCTCCTCCCAATGCCAATATTTTCCAGACTGCATCTTGGTTTTTTCTGGCCTTACAACGAGCCTGGGCCTTGATACTTACTTGTACACATTACTGCCAAATCCTAAAAGTATAAAATAAGTTTCAACCTGGTTTAGAAAAAGTATCATGGATTCTGAATAATAGTAGCAATTATTATAAATAGCTAACACTTACTGAGTGTTTAGTATGTATTAGCCACGGTTCTGGGGGAAGGTTTTATTAAATAAATGATTAAGCGTTGTTGGACACACTACAGAACTCTAGCAATTGACCGGGCTGGTGGGTCTACCTTCATTCTTTTATGAACAGGCATAGAATGAGTCATGGCCAGGAAAAAAGAAAAAGTGATAAACAAGCCAATAAAATTAGAAGGTGAATTCACCGAAGAGAGGAGTAATTATTTGAATTATATATTTTTTTGTTTAATTAACATGTATTAAGTGTCTTCTGGGTAGCAGGCACCGCTAGGTACTTTTCCATCTGCTATTTTATTTAATTACAGGGAGTTCTTCACTTCCACAGACGGTTCCCCGTGGGCTTCCTTCCACTAATGACTTACCCTGCCGGCGCTTCCTGGTCCCTCTTGCTCGGCAGTCACCTGGGGAGCCTTGCAAAACCGCTGCTGGGGTTTCATCCTGAGAGAGTCTGCTCAATTCTGCAGGGTTGGGGCCCAGCGGTGGTAAAGTTTTCTCCCTCCTCTTCCATGGACTCTGCTTAAGCAGGAAGGAGACCCTCCATGCTGGACAACTTGAGAGCGAATAGTTGACTTGTGGGAAAATAGTGGCTTCAACTTTTCGGCCATCAGTGACTCTGATGAACTTGGGGCGTGGGGTTTGCTCCCCAAGATGGAGTAAGGAAAACACCGATTTTCCTTTGTCTGTTTCTTCTACAAACTGGGACGTGGGAAGGGTCCGAATAATTACTGAATGCAGCAGGCGAGAAAATGTTGCCCTCCATGTCTCAGCCCCGCAATTTCCAGAAGCACTTGATAATGTGAAACCTGGGTTTTGCTCTGTGGTGTTTAGCAAAGTCTCGAAGGTGCCCTGTTTAGTTAAGAAAAAAGGCGCGAAGGAATGTCCACCCAAAAGTGCTTCCTTTGTGGAAATACGGGCCACAAGTCTATGAGTAAAAAGACTTAAGAGGACAGAGAATTATGAGGAATTTTTTGGGTGGAGGGGCTAGCAGTTGAAATGACTTCTTTTAATTAGATGAATTCCTTTGTAAGGAATTTGTAAAAAAAAAAATAAAATGTTGTAACAAAAGGTGTTTAGTAACAAAACATTGAAAAAGCAAAAAAGAATCCAGTGGTTTGGGGAAGTCAACTTTTCTTCAAAAATTGTTAGAGCCTTAGATCACATCATAGAGAATTAACTTAGAGAAATGATTCATAGACACAAATAGATTTGGTCCCTAGAACAATTCCCGGGGGCCGTCCTAATTAGGTTTGCTTCAATGAGAAGGCCTGGAAAATCCTGAGCCCTGAGAGTGTGGTGTAATTGGTGGGCAGATAAACCCCTTAGACCTGACGGTGCTAAGCACTGACCCCTAAAAGAAGTGACCCCTCTGGTCTGGGTGACTGACCAGACAGCCTTCCTTTTAGGGACTTTGTGCCTCTTTGACATAATTGTCATGCTGCTGAGAGACCGTGGGAAGTCAGGGCGGTCTTCTGGACCTGAGGCTCTTTGTGCACTAAGGAGGCACTTGTCCCTTTTCAGATTGGGCTTCCAGAGCCCCCGAACACCTAAAGGACCCTGGGGGAGGATTGTTGAGTTGGCATGATGCTAGGCCTTTGGTTTCCGCCATGGCCTTGGATAGAGTGGCGTTGGGTAGAGAGAGGAAATCAGTTCAGTTCTGTATGCATTCTGGAGCACCTGCCACGCACCAGCCATGGTACCAAGGGCTGGGGACACCAAGATGAGCAACTTACAGGTAGTGTCCTGGAGGAGGCAGGCAGGGACACAGATCATTCCAGCGTTTCTTCCACCAGGCTGCCCTGAGGGCTGAGAGTGGGGGCAGACGTCAGAGGCTGCTTGTGCCGGGGACCCAGTGGAGTTTTTAGGAACAAATGACAAGAGGACAGCTCCCTGTTTGAGTCACTGCCCAGTCAGTGCTGAGGGGAAAAGAAAGAGGAAGAAGGAGGACCCACGTGGGGAGGTGGGGGTCTCCCTCGTGGCCTGGAGTGGATGGGCGGCTTGGGCAAGCTAGTGAAAGGGCTGTCCAGAAACGCAGAGGACGTGGATCTCAGACCACAGAACCTGCCCTTGGGCTGGGAGGGGGTTTGGAGTCACTGAGTCCAGTCCAGCTGCCCTGGTAAGCTCTCCTGCCTACTTCTTCAGGCCTGTCTCTTCTGCCTCCTGTGCTTGACCCTGTGACCTGTCAGGTTAGCCTGTGGGCCTTTGCACGTGCTGTCGGTTCTGCTGGCATCCCCAACTGCTTGGGGCAAATTCTGTCTTGTCTCTTAGTTTTCAAAGTAGCTGTCACTTCCTTGGGGAAAGCTGTTACTTTCCATTCCCTGCAGAATTCATTCTGTACCCTGCTCTGTGGTTACCCATTACCTGCGCACACCCCTGTTGGAAGCCTCTGTCATGCCTCCGGCTCCTTGCTTTTCTGCCTGTAATTGCTTCACTGATGGCTGAGTGGGTGGCTGCGTTGAATTCACGGAATGATCTCCATGGCCACAGCGCATGGAGATCAGAGGTAATCAGTGATAGTTCTTGATGAATGAGTGGCCTCACTTTCCGGCAGAGGCTGCAGGAGCTCAGAGAGGTTTGGTGCCCAAAGTCACACAGCTCTGAGATGCTGAGAAGGGACTGGCACCCGTGGTGTGAATTGAAAGAGGAGACAAGATCAGATGTGGTTTCTAGTCCAGAGTTTCTCCTCTCATGGAGTGGAGATGAAGCAGAGTCACGCCCTCTTTGGGACAACTTCTTTCCTTCTTGGGGACCACACTGACTCCTGGGTTTGTCTCTAAGTGATGCAGTCGCCAGCATACTACCCTCTGTGTTCTAAAAGAACACAAAAAAAGACTTTTGTGAGAGTGAATTAGCATGCTTTTCTAATCTCTAGGACTTCAGCCCATAACCCTAAAATTTTTCCTAAGTGAACAATTTGTCCCCATTTTTTATTTTGTAAAGCCAGTCAAAAAAGTGGGAAGAAGAAACAACTTTTATGTAAGTGAAAGATGCAGCAAGTGGAGTCAGGAGAACTGTAATCATGTGTCTAGATCTGTGTGATGTGCAGTATTTGTGTGTGTAGTGTGTATATGCAGTTGTGTGTATGCGTGGTGTGTATGTGTGTATGGTGTGTGTGTGGTGTATACATGTTTGTGGTGTGTGTATAAGTGTGTGTGTATTTGTGGTGTGTGCATATATGTGGTGTGTGCATATATGTGGTGTGTGTATGCTTGGTATTTGTGGGATGTGTGTAGTGTATGTATGTTGTGTGGTGTGTATGTGTTGTGTGTATGGTGTGTGTATGAGTGTATATGTGTGTGGAGTGTGTACATACGCCTATGCAGGGTATGGGGCATCTTGCACTTTTTTTTAAGATTTATTATTTTTATTTATTTGTGCATACAAGAACTGGGGTCTAGGCCAGAGGTGTGGGGGGTGAGAGGATTCACCAGAGACAGAGTGGGGAACAGAACAGGCAGATCTACTGAAATGCACTGCTGAGGGGAGCAGCAGGTGAGACAGGAGAGGTCTGCTGCACCATGTGGGTAGCTCCCTGGCTGGGGCTATCACCAGCTACAGTGGCTGGTGATAGCTTGATAGTGCTGAGACTTTAACCCCTACGCCACCAGGGAGACCCATCTTGCACATGTTTGAGAACATAACTTGTGAATATGTTTAGAGGGTTCTTGGATTAAATCCCATCTTTCTTTGGATACTGAGCAGTTTCATGGCTATTATTTAAAAGTGAAATTTAAGCCACATTTGTGCTACAACAAGAACAATGAGGAGAAAACCTGCATTAGGCAACACAGGGAGAGCTGGCAAAGGCAGCGGAGTGGTTGAAATGATCAGGATGGCCTTCTCCCTTAACAATTAGACATGGCCCCCACGCCTTTTGTGAATAAAATGAGGCTGTTAGGCGGCTTCCGGTAGTTCAGCACCCAATGAAAAGCAAAGAGAAAGCACTAAGGCTGCTAAAGATTTAATCAAAAAAAAAAAAAAAATCCAGAAAGGCCTTCTGTTTCTCTTCCTGACAATAGCGAGTGTCTCGCCTGCAGACCTCACTTCCCAGCTTCACGCTAGATGCCGGTGAACGTGTTCAGATGGGATGTTATTTAACCCTGGTCTCATGAAACGCCTTTTGATTCATAAGTTATCTCTGTGAGAGATTTTGAGGGTGATAGGAAGGTGTCATGTACATGTTTGTTTTCCTTTCTTTGCAGTGTAGCGAGACCTAAAACAGGAAGTGATTCAGGGTAGAATGACTAGACCAGTTCAAACTCAAGTTGAGCTGAGAATCTGCTGGGGCTAAGACTTGTTGCTGTAGCCCAGAGCCAAGTATCCTTATCTTAGTCATCGGAGCCCGAAAGGACAGCCTGGCCTCACCCTCTGCTTCTGGCATATAGTCCAGTCAAGTATCCCCAAGTCTTAGGATTTGGGCTGGGTCTTCCCTCTTTATTTTATTCCCATCTTTTTGCAACCTATAGCAAGTTACTTAACTTTGCTGAATCTTCATTTTTTTTCTTTTTTGAATCTTTATTTCTTTATTTGTAATACAAGACTATTTGGAACATTAAATGAGAAAAATGTTGGTGATATATGCTCTGTAAGTAATAGTCTGTGTAAGTGGGATTTGGAGTCCCATGTCTGGGAGACATGCTCCTAGACCATGTGTCTGATCTGGGGGAAAATAATAGTGGCCAGCATTTACTGAGGGCTTATTGTGTGTTGTAACTTGCTTAATCCTTGCTCTAACTCTATTTTACAGGAGAAGAAGCTGCGACCTGGGGTTTGAATAATTCGTTCAAGGTTACCACGTTGGTAAGTAACAGAGCTGGATTTGACTATGGCCATCTGGTTCCAGAACTAACAGCTTCAGCTCAATTATCTGATTTAAGTTTCACAATAGCCCTAGAAAGTTGAGGTAGGAGAAGGAACTTGTCCAAATTCATCCACCAGTGAGGGGTTGTCTTAGTCTTTTCCTATAACCATACACTATAATTTACCATAGATTGGGTGGCATATAGACAACCAAAATTTACTTCTCCTGGTTCTGGAGGCTGGGAGTCCAGGATCATGGCGCTGGCAGACTCACTATCTGGTGATGGCCTGTCCTTAGCTCATAGAGGGTCACCATTTTTCAATAACCTCAGATGATAGAAGGGGCAAGGCAGTTCCTTGGGCATTTCCTTAATTAGGGCACTAATCCCATTCCTGAGGGCACCATCCTCATGATTTAATTACCTCCCAAAGGCCCCACCTTCATGCCATCACATTAGGGATTAGGTTTTAACACATTAATTCTAAGGGGATGGGGTGGGCATAAACAGTACATTGTGGGGTTAGAAGTCAGAACCCACACCCAGCAGTCTGGCCCCAGAGCTAGTGCTCTCAGAACCGCTGTAAATTTGCCACTCCTGCAAGTCCCCTCATGGAAAACCTACTCTATGAGCCTGGGTGCCCTCAACCCCTGACTGCCATTTCTCCTTTCATCTCCTTCTCCCTAAGCTTCCTGGTCTTCTCACCACCTCCACTTGACTAGATAACCTCTAGAGAGATAACTTCCAGAGAGATAACCTCTAGAGAGGTTTAGCCATCAATGGGCAGGAAGCTATGCAAGCTTTTAACTTTTATTTAAACTGGGGTATAACTTATGTACTATGAGATGCACAAATCGTTATTGTACAGCTTGATGAATATTTAATACGTTATACCCATCTAGCCGCCACCCACATTGGGGTATACAGTATCTCCTGCACTCCAGGAAGCTCCCTTGTGCCCCTTTGCAGTTAGTATTGCCCCAGAGCTGACCACTATTCTGACATACAGAAGTGATTCAGATTCGTGCTCCTCACTTGTCCAGATCCAAGCACACTTGCTCAACAACAGCACAACAATGTCGAGAAAAAAATAGCACTTTACATAGCATGGCTGATCCTGTGACTCCACCCAGTGGGTTTCTCTCTCGGAGTGAGGGGAAAGGTAGACACAGATCTGCTCTTCCTCCTGTTGGTCTTTGTTCCTGTAACTTTTTAGAGTGTGAGCAACTTTTGCCATTGAGCATGTTTGTCACTTCGATAGATGTTCAATATCAGAGAACATGCCTTCTGAGTCATGCTACCTATTTCTTCTCGTGTTTTCCTTAAGAAACCAAATTCAATGCTGGAGAAATATTGACAGTGCTGGACTTAACAGGAGATGGTTTGTCTCCGGTGTGAAGCCTTATTATGGGATTTTTCAAGAAACTTTTGACTTTCTTCAGTTTCCACCTTCTATGCTGACTTAGGAGCCAGCATTTGAGGAAGAGGCAATTGTACTGTTGACAGAACTCAAGTATGGTTAAATAATTATATTAGATTTGGGAATCTGGATCATTGTGCGACAGAGAAGACTCAGCTGATTTGTGTGAGTCCTTCCTGATCTGAACACAGAGTTGACTGAGATATCACAATTATATTTAGGGGAATGCATCAGGAAAGGATGCCCACAAAGTGCCAAAAATGAAGAGATAAAGTTAAGCTAAATGGTCATGTGAACTGAAGAGAGGGCTGCTCATGGGACTTTCACATGAGGTATAAGCCATAGAGCCTGGGATTTAGGGTTTTAGTGCCATAGTGGATCTAGAAATGAAGCCTGGGCTCAGGGTGGAATTGAGTGCCCTGGAGTCTCAAATATCACATTTCTTTGGGAAGAGGGACTAAGAATACTACAGTGGCTAAAAAAACAGGGAGCTTACCTTGTGTGGAAAAAAGTCAGTAGCAAGAAATGAGAAACCTGGGGCTGCTCTATATGTGTTCATGGAATTTTTGTTTTATTGTCTATGAGATGTGAAACTCTGCATGCTGAGAAATTAACACAAAACCTGACCTAGTACCATGGAAAATCCCTAGCACAAAACACCAAATCACTCCAGAGGTATATTTCAACATCCCAGCCCTAACGGGTTTTCTTAGAAAGAACTACCTCCTCTGAAAAAGAGTCTACAGTTAAATACTATGAACTACTCAGGAAATAAACTGCTTTGAGTTGGAAGTATAAAGCTATCTAAAAGAGAATATAAAAAAGTATACTTAAAATAATTGAAGACTAAGGTCAGTGTCAAAGATGAAAAGGAAGATAAAAAAGAACACGCTGATTTGATAAGCAGCCAAATTGAAATGAAGAATAGTTATTGGATGATGATAGTGTTGAAGAAGAAGCTGGGGGGGGGGAAGGGAGAGGAAAAGAAAAGGGAGAGGGGAGGAGGAAGAAAGAGAAATAATCAAGCACTTGAGTTTACATATATCTAGGAATAGTTATTAATATTTTATAAATATTAACCTTTTAAACTTCTCAGTAAGCCTGTATGAGACAGTGTATCAATTAGCATTTATTGAATAACAAACAACCTCAAAGCTCTTTTTTGTGTGTGTGTGGAAGAGGTCAGAGATTTATTAAAAAGGAAAAAACAGTTTCCAGAGGGGAGAGAGTCTTGAAAAAAAAAAAAAAGAATAGTTATTGGAATTAAAATCCAACAAAAAGGTATATGCTAAATTAGAGAAAGCTCAAGAGAGACTTAGTGAGCTGGAAGACAATAGTAACAGTTAACATTTGTTAAGTGGTTGTCATGTGCTAGACACTGTTCTGTGTACTTGCATTAACTCAATTAAAATTCAGAACAATTAAAATTAACAATTAACAATTAAAATTCACACATTCCACATTTAACAGATGAGGAAACAAAGGAATATCAGTTTGAGTCACTTGCCCAAGTTCTCATAGCTGGAAAGTGGTGGAATTGGGAATTGACCCCAGACTGTCTGGTGTAGCCTAGATTCTGTGTTCACAATTCCTACACTGTAGGAAATCATCAAGAATAAGAGATGGAACTATCAAGGGATGGTAAAGAGACATAGAGAAGAGAATGAAAGGATATTTACTTGTTTGTCTAAACAGAGGTATCCTCTAAACCGAGTATCCTCTGTTTAGACAAACAGAGGGACTAGGGGGAAGCGGTATTAGAATAAATTAGGATCAGATAACCTTTCAGAGCTGCAATCCTGATGTTCCAAGAATTTCTCGCCATATGGGAGTATTCAAAGTTTGGGGGAGAGTGGGAGAGCCTTGGTTTCCAATGTAGTGTGATCAGCAGACTGGTATGTTTGACAACTGTCTCTGTGGTGGAAAAACAGAAGCCCTGATTTGTAGCATTTGCTAATTTCTATGGTATAAATAGTGCCATCATGACCCATTTCACACCACCAATATGAGGTCCCTGCACATGAAACAGGGAAAAGATGAGCATGGCCACCTCTCTTAGCCAGTATGAGCCATCTCAGCACACCAGCGCCCTGACATGCATTCTGTTTTAGACTCTTGTCTCTGGGTTGTGCTGGAGTTTTCAGGAAGCAGTAACGCCATGTTTGATATCATAGTATCATAGGGGCGAAAAGAGACAGTGGGTCAAGAGTGGAGCTCTGCTCTCCTTTCTTCCTTTGCATTTAAAAAACAAGCAAAAACATTTTTTTTTTTTTTTTTTTGGTGAATGTGGGAGGAGAAATAGGAATGCTTATCACCCTACTGCTGAGAGGGGAGAGGACTGAAGTTTCTTGAAGAGTGTTTGGCACTGTCAACCCACATTGCAGGAGCACATACCATTTGACTTGGCAACTCTAGCTCAAGGATTTTATCATACAATCATTTTATCATATAATATCTCTTCTATTGTTTTATTTTAAAGATTTTATTTATTTATACAAGAACTGGGGTACAGGCCAGATGTGTGGGAGGGTGAGAGGATTCACCAGAGACAGAGTGGGGAACAGAACAGGCAGACTGACGAAATACAGTGCTGAGAGGAGCAGCGGGCGCCACAGGAGAGTTCTGCTGTGCCATGTGGGATTTTTGCCATCTGGCAGGTATCGAACCCATGCTGCAGAGGCTGCAGACAGCTTCACAGTGTGGCGCTCAACCGCCTGCGCCACCAGGGAGGCCCATCTCTTCTATTGTCACACATGGGTGTGAAGATGGGCTGTGACATTGTTTGTACTAGCTAGACCTTGAAGCAACTGAAATGTAGGTCAGTGGGGGACTGACTGAAGAACTGTGGTCTGTTCACAGGGTGACTTAGCATTGTAGGTTATGTAAACTAAGAAGGAACGATCTTCAGGATACATTTTTTTTTTAGATATAACAAATATTTTTATTGTATTTTATTTTTTGTTAATGAAGTACCCTTGTTTTACATCCTTATTAATTTTTTTAACAGTCTAGGAATTTTCCCCTAAGGTGTGGTCACCATAGCTCTCCCACCACCGAAGCACCTGTAGCCCTCCCCCACAGTCCAGTGTGCTCCCCCTTCCTTTTTCTGCCCTCCCTCTGCTCAGGATGCCCCAGAGCCATGGTCACCCTCCAGGGCTTGGTTTTAAGTTTGTCTTTGTCCATGCCTTTGTTTGGATTGTCTGTATGCCACATATAAGTGACACCGTGGGGTATATTCTTAAGTTTTTTTAAAAAAAGGCAATGCGCAGAAAAGAATATGTGGTATATTCCCCTGTGTTGGGAAAAAAGAGGGGGCACTAAGTTTTTACACACACACACACACAAACACACACGATTTTGTGTAGACGATTGCTGGAATGAGCCCAACAAAGAAGGTGGTTTGGGGGAGTACTGTTTACCTCTTGGGCAAAGCCCTTCGGATGTGGCTCTAGGGTGGAGAGAAGATATCTTACTGTGTCCTTTTAAATATTTTTGAATTTCTCAACCTGAGCATGTAGTATTTTTTTCTGTTAAAAACAACAAACTCATTAACAAAAAGCTTCACTTTGGGAGCTTTCAAC